TTTTTTTTTTTTTTTTCTGTAGCATGTAGAACACTCTCTTATTACGGGCACAGAGTTGTGGATGTCCATAATGGGACTGTCCTATCCAGGGCAGCTTCCTCTCCCCAACACAGCACATGTTCACACATACACATTTGTAGGAAGACACATTTTTCTAGCCTTGTAAATTTAAAATGTTTACTAGCAAAATCCTACCTTAACTAAATCATCTTTCCAAAAGTTTTTGACTAATTGATAACTTTATTTCTTCTTCATATAAATCCTGTTACAAAGCATGACGGTTTGTAACCTGCCTGTTTGGAGCCCATTGCTTCTTACTCTTTCAAAAATATTGTGCTTTTAACATGATATTGCAGAGGATGATTTTTAAATTGACCTACATACAGAGTTTCAGATTTATGACTACAACCAAGGGTCTTCAATGGCCTACAATCTCATTTTATGGCACCTATCTCCCCCACCATCTTGTAATCGGTCTACTTGTTTTCTCGTGTTAATTAATGTTGTAGACAGGCCTCTGAATACTACCATTTGTATTCTCACCTTTGTTTTATGAGTGGAGGAAGGTGGGCATCACTAAAGTGGGGTAAAGAATGACTTTAGGTAAGGACAATGAAGTACTCAACAGGGTACCTCTTTCTCAGCAAACTCATCATTAGTCCGAATATCATGTCACCATGATATTAGGCCAGGCAGGCAGCAGCTTTAACACTGAATCAAAGAATAATTTTCCTGTGTGGAGGGTGAAAAGCACAAATTGGAGAGCACAGCCATCTCTTCAGCGCTCAGATGCATTTAGGAATGTCAGATATTAACACCCATTTCCATATTAGTATTTCCATTTTACCTTGCGCTCACGGAAGTCAGTTCGGTATTAATCATTGCCTAATGTATAATATGGGGAAAATTAAACTGGGTGGAGTCTGATTATTGACAAATAAGATTAATTAGTTAGTTCATGAAGGTAAGCAAATGTTTTGATTACTGGTTTCCTTCTAGAAAGATATTGATTGACTACAGTCTTAATGCCAAATATAAAACTTCGCCTCGCAAAATATTATTTCCGTTAATTTCCAACATTTTGAACGTATTGTGAACAGTTCACTTAAGGCATGTTTAATAACAGCTGCTCTTCTCTTTGATTCTTCTTGACTCCTTCATTGACTTCTTGTCTTCCTACAACTCTCCACACCTAAACTATTTCCCAGCATTCTGCTTGAGTCACATTTCGTCCACCCCAAAGTTTCCTTTCTCAAACTGGTACTGTGCGTCCAGTTTCTGTTGATGAAACCTTCATCCTCCCTGTCATCCCTACTCAAAATGTTTTAGTCACTTTTGATTCTTTCCTTTCCTATCAGTCTTGTGAGTTCCACTGAGTCTGCTCAAAAAGAACGCTTCCATCTGCCTTCTATTCATGTCCACACCCATTCATGTACTTCATGAATGCCTTCATCACCTCTTCACTTGCAATGGTTACTAAACTAAAAAGAATCTCTTCGCATCCACCCTGAAGAGTACCGCAGAATCACTCTTCATGAGCCCTAGGCTCAAAACCTTCCCGATGATATCTGCCTATCAGATTACATCCAGACTCTTCAGCGTGTCATGAGAGGTTCCGAATAAAACATATTCCCTATGACTATCCTTCACACCTTTACTGCTCAGCCAAACCCAATTAATTGCTCCTCTTTGCCTATGTCTCTCTCCCTTGAACGTATGTCTTTGGCTGTGTTGCTCTTCCAGCATTCAGCAGCCATTTTTTGAGCCTTTGCTGTCAGAAAAATTTAAAAAACGGTTAAAAAAAACCCCCAAACTTTGCTCAGTGATCTGTGGTTTGTTCAGTACTTTTATCTGTCAAGCGTTATTATTCCCCTTTGAGGCAGCCCTATAGAAATGGCTGCTCTGTACAAGTCTATTGAGGATAATAGAGTTTAAATGATCTCAGGTCTTTCTACCAACAAAGATCAAAGTAGAAATGAAATCTGCTCTACATATTTGTGCTTTTCTCAATTCCATAATGCTATTACCATATTGATACTATTTAAACCTTAAATACAGTTTAAAGGCAAGTTCAAAAGTCACTTCATCTACAAATCTTCCAGAACCTTCTTCTTCTGAACTGCTAAAGCATTTTGTCTATACTTC